AGTCTGTTTGTGTTCATTCACTGCAGGTACACGTCCAGCTCTGTCAGCTGGCCCGTACCAGTTTATAATCCTTTCAGCTCCTTACACGTGTTCAGGTAATACTTTCTGCCAGCTAGGGCAAGTTTTACTTTTTGAGTTTAATTATAAAATGAAAATACCAATTATTACCATTTTGTGGGGGTTCATTTTATCAAACCACAATGTTGGGCGACTAAATGAATGTTTTTTCTTCTCTCGTTGATTTTTGTTTTAACAAACGGAAGTATCTGAACGGATCGTGTTAGTGCTGCATTTGATACATTTACAGTAATTCCAATATTTTGAAGCATGAACATGATATTGGGATTAGAGGAACAGCTCTAAAATGGTCTAATCATATTTATCTGACAGATTCCATTTTCTTTTCATGTTATTAATTAATCTTCCTCATACACCAGTTTTAATCTCCAAGTGTTCATATTGTCCCACAATGATGCAGAAAAGCTTGTCTGTGCATTTGTCATTCTAGGCTCGACTATTGCAAGGTTTACGTGTGGTTCCTAGAGTTTGTAAAAGTAGAGTGGGAGGCAGAGCCAGCTTCTCTCTGTGAGGCTCACATCCCGTCTCCTTAACCGTGGGTTAACGCTCTGTTCTTTATCCTCAATCAGAGTCAGGTTTCCTGAGCCGTCCCTTGGTTATGCTGCTATGTGGACTCGGACACACTGACCACGTTCCTTCACTCTGCCGCTGACTTTACGTGCACTATTCTCCACGTTCATACATGCAGCTGTTGTGGTCATGAACCTGCTTTCACAGCAGACTGTGCTGTTTCTGACCCTTTTCTGACTTGATCTTCCAGCAGCTGTGTTTTGGGTTCAGTACTATATTATAGGTACTATTTTTTATTTGAACATTTTACTTGAAACCTGAATTAAGCTGACTGTTGTAAATGCTTCGGATTTATGATTTGAACATTTTACTTATTTTATATTCTGAGTTTACATTTTTTGTGAACTTATGCTTCATAAACAGCATCAGGAGTTTGCCTCCTGTTTTTCTGGGTGGAGTTTACATGTTCTCTCCGTTTTCTCCGGGTGCTCCGGTTTCCTCCCACAGACCAGAAACATGCATGTTAGGCTGCAGTAGGTTAGTAAATCTAAATTTTCCCCAGTTGACAGAGTGAATGGTGCTTTGTCTCTATGTGTCCCTATGATGGACTGGAGACCTGTTCAGGCTGCAGCCCCCCCCCCCCCCACACACACACACACACACAGTGACAGTTGGACACCACCAGTATGGGCACCAGTGACCCCCACATCCCAAAAAGGAAGAAGCAGGTAAAGCTAATGGATGGATGGATTCATTCAACCTTTATTTCTACAGGTTAGTCCCATTGAGCCTCAGGGACTCATTTACAGGAGAGACCTGATCAAACCTCTAAATTTACACCGTAACGTGTAGCTTCATCATAATCACCATGCTATGACATTCGATGGTGGTATCTGATGCACAATGTAGACACGGTTTGCAATAATAAAATAAATGAATAAAACTGAGAGAAATAAAAAGAGGAATTAGAGTTTTTTTTGGTAAAAACCACATCAGAGCCCTTTCTGGAGCTCAGACAGACTTCACAAGTGAAACATCACTCGATGTTCAGATGAGCTGCAGAACACGTCCACTCAACACCAAACGTTCCTCTGACAGCTGATGATGTCACACACCAACTTTTGAATTGTCTTAAAATTAAAATCTTCGGTGCTCATGCTCTCCTTCCTCCTGCAGCTCCTTTTGATTAGACATCAAACTGTGGGTGTTGTTGTCTTCTTTAAGCCTGTGCGCATCACCGCTGTAGGACTAATAGTTCCTTCAAACCCCCATACAATGCAGAGCGTGAAGACACAAGCTTCCACAGATTCAGCAATATTTAGACTCAAAAACGTCTCTACAAACTGGAAGTGAACGGTCGTTTTAACTTGTCTTATTGGCAGCATAAAACACGTGGCCTGCAGAGGCGTGCACCTCCTGCTCATGGTTCAGGAGCTTTTAAGATCTGCTTTGTAGCTTTCACACAGTGACTGGTTGAGGCTTAGTATTCAGCTTGTTCCTGACTGCCTCTCGATAAATTGGCACTCAGGGAGTGACAGACAAAGGTGTTTGGTTACCATGGTTACGTTAAAAAATGGTGTTTTTTGCACATCTTGAGTTTAAACATCCAAATCTAGTTTGTATCCGTTTATTTGCTCAGATGGTTACAGAGCTGTGTGTGTGCAGCAGCTGCATCAGCACCCTTCACAAATGTTCCAGTTTGGCCTGAAGAAGCTTCGCGGGTCCATGAGCGTAATCCTCAGCTACGTCCACATCAACTCCACATCAACGTTGTCTCAGCAAGTTTGGAGATTTATTTTATGTCATAGCAGCAAGTTGTAATGTTACGTAACAAACACATACATACTTGTAAGACCATCAATGAACAAAAAAAATTTAGCAAAATGTATATATGTATATAATAATATATATATAATATATATATATATATATATATATATATAACAGCACTATTTCTCTCTTCAGTCATAGTTCATATTACGTATCTAATTCTGGCTGCTTGCTCTAACAGTGCTAAATATTCCCTGTACGATCCATAGAAGTGAGGAGAGGCAAAGAAGTAACGGTGTCGTGGGCGTAACATCTGCCACAAGTCAGAACAGTCACAGTCACAGGGAAGCACTGTTGCTCCTAACTCCATTACAAAACATGAGTTGCAATGACAGCGGACTGTCAGGGTCCGGCCGGGTATTATGACCGGTGGGTTCGTTTTTTCAAGCACAGTTCCAGCAGCTGGATGACATGGCACTTATGTAAGAACAAAGAGTGCGTGACAAAACATTCACGTGGAGACAGCTTCTGCTTTATGATAACAGCAGTGCAGACAGATACACAGCAATCCTCATATCAGGGAATTCAAACAGTGTTGCCTCACATTTTTTTGAAAGGAAGACAAGAAGTCACTTTTACACAAGTGAGGTGCAATTACAACATGATGGAAAATGGAAAACGAAACCATCACAAGTGAACCTGAAGAAAGCATCGGCTGCTGCCATCCGTTCTTTTCCAACACGGTGAGTCCAAACAGACACTTTTTATGGCGTTGCAGAAAGAGATTTTGGACTCACAGCTAGAACTGGACCAGTACCCGTTCTGCGCTGTAATCCCACCAGTAACTGGGCTTCCTGGAGCAGCATGTATTAAACTACTCAAGCTGAATAAGTTGGTCGTTTGGTGTAAATGCAAACATTTAGCACGCCTGTCACAGACACACTCAGAAGCTTTTCATTTCAACACGATCTTGTTCCGGCTCTGGGACAATTCTTGAATCTGATAAATATAGGTATATAAAAATACAAGGAGCATACCTACAGTACGTCCTGCTGCTCTTCCTCGGTAAACGTTTTTAATATAACTCTACATACACTCTATACTAATTATGACTGACTCTTAATTTGCATATTTTCAATTAAATGTCTTATACATCAATATATTTGAGGGATGATTGTTTTTATTTGTGGCTTAATACAAATGTTTAAGTTGTAACCACTGCAGTTAAGAATTCACTTGTTTTATTAGAGCACAGATTTTACTGGTATACATACAAATTATCTATTTACAATTCATTACTTGATTCAGGACCTTTTTACAGTTAAACTCGCCTTTGGTCCAATATGGTCAAACTGTGAGTGAAAGACATCGGAACAGAAGTTTTTTTTTAAACTTATTTAATTTATTATTTTTTTTTAACAATTTTGGGTGCCACAGAACATTTCACAGCTGATTTTAGTACATTCTGTGGAAAACAAATTGCACTAATATGTCAATAAAACAGCTTAAAGGCTGTTTGGTGTTGTGAATGCTGTCCCAGGTCAAAGGTCAGTGGATTTCCTGTTTATACAAACAGCTCCTTCTTCTCATGCTCACCGTAAAGAGACGGCAACCCTGCTTTGTCAAAATTTCAGTCTTGACTTTTAAAAAGTCAGGATGAAAATTTTTCCAATTGCTTATTATTGCAACTCCTATACTGCCCAACTTAACGTCAGGAAAAACAAGAAGGCAAGATTAACAGGTGCAGTGACAGACAGTTTCATGCAATGTTCAGATTCTTGTCATGTGTATAAAAGCATTGTGTCCATCAGCTCAGAGCAATGTCCCTTCTAACACACCTCAGCTTGAAGAATTGAAATTTGTTGGAAAGTTCTTTCCTTGACACATTCATGGACAGATATTAATTTTAATAATTTATAATAACAGTAACTGAAAAAATTATATAAATGGTAGAAATGTGTATTCATAGACTCCATTGAAGTTAGATGGAAACACCAGCATTCCATTATATTAACATGATTCAAAGCTAGCCATGTTGTGAGAATAAATGTCTTTATGAATACTATACAGATGTCTGAAGTGTCTACGGTGAGTTCGCTCACGTGAATGTGAAAAATCAGAGTTTACATTTTCTTCTTACATTGCTTTTTCTTTATTTTTCCCTCAATCCGTCTCTGACAAAGAGAAAAAATTAAAAAAGTATACGTATTGCTTAAAAAAATTCCCTTTAACAATGTGAAACATTCCATTCAACACTTCTAGGTTTGTTTTGACAGACAGAGCATTACATATTCAAAGACTCGTACAGAAAGATGCTATGAATCCAAACAACCAATGATGGAACGTGACAGTGACTAATTCCTGGGACCATTTGCTGGAGACTGTCAGTTTGAATGATCCTCCCTTTCAACCAGCAGGTGGCTCTATACAAGCACTGTTGCATGGCCCAGGTGAAGGGGAGGGATTGAGAGATGAGTCTGTCATGGTTACAATAATCACTCTTGGTGACTGTGGCCTTGGGGTGTTCAGTCTTTGTGTTACTGAGGGTCTGCAAACATGCTCTCCTTTCATCCCTCCCACCCAAGTCCACCTGCCTTTTATCTGTGAGTAACACTTAACAAAAAACAAAACAAAGGGAATCCTCATTTGCTTTTTCCGGATGTGCTGGACCCGCCTGCCCCACATTCCAACTTGTCAGCAATTTCAGACGTGTCTAACTTCTCTGAGACTTCACCTTTCTCTGAGCCCTGCTCCCCCTCCCCCAGCTCAGACCTTTCTGACTGCATGTCTGCGTCCCCTTCTGACTTCTCCTTCCTTTCGGAGTGGTCAGGGTCCATGGATGAGGTGCCTGGCTTGTCCCACTTAGCCATGTCGTCGTGTTCAGCTATGGAGGCGGTGATATTTGAAGTCCAAGCCTTCAAGTCCTCCTGCAGAGGTCAGCAAGAGATAAGACAGTTTATTCAAGGAATCTCCATGTGATGTGGCTAGATTTGTATTATTTTGTCATCAGTGACTTTAAGATTTGCATATTAACTGAAGAACCAAAGAGCAAAAAGTTGATTAAGGTCTTAGAATGTAACGGCAGATTGACATTAGTAGGAAAACTTTCCAAAAGTTCATTTTAATTTGTGTCCACATTATACTAATAGACCAACTGTCCCTGCCTTCTCTCATTGTTAGGAATTGAATCCATCATGAACTGCTTCATGGAAGACCACGCATCTTTGGAACCAGAGTCTGTGCACTAATAATGTGGGTCTTGAAGTCCTGCCTACTCCGCCTGCACACAATCATGGTGTCACGCGACATTTTCTTATGCATGAAATAACTATTTACATTTTTTTCATTTACCTTTTATTTATACAGGTAGTCTCGTTGAGCCACAAGAACTCATTTTCAAGAGAGACCTGTTTTTGAGAGCAGATGGTGGGGGTTAAGGGCCTTGCTCAGGGGCCCAGAGAGGGGCAAATGAGTTTAGAGGGAGGTGTGGGTGTTCGCCCTTTACCACCCACATTTCATGTTGACGGTACCGGGAGTTGAACCTGTGAACTTCCAATCACAGACTCATCTTCTCTAACCTCTGTGCCACCTTTACCTCAATTAAACTATTATTATTATACAATTAAACTTATTAGAAATTTTGACATTTTAACATACAGCAACAAGATAAGGACTATTTAAATGAATAAGAGTCAACACCTGAAAATAATGATTTGATGTGTTTTATTTATTTATTTTGGGCAATGTTGTATTTGTTTACATACAGAATGTGTTGGACTTAAAACTTGTGCTGAAACCAGAAAACATGGAGGATGGTTATGTTCTGGCTTCAACTTCTGGATTCCAGACTGAGGTGTACCTATTTTTTACAGTTTATAAATGGTAAATGGACTGTATTTATACAGCACCTTTCCATCTTATTTCAAGATACTCAAAGTTCTTTACACAACAATCTGTGCCTCATTTATTTATAGTCTTTGCGCAATTTCTGGTGACACCCTGTTTGTCTGTTTGGCATTTGTGACATGTAGCAATCTCAAATGACTGTAATATCAACAAGATGGGGCTGAAAAATACAGAAGCCTGGAAAAGGAAATATTGAAGTTGTGGAGAGTCAAGGCTTCAGTGGTAAAAAAAACACTCAGTCCTGTGATCAATGTTCCCTGTAAGCTGCGTATCTGTGCAATCGCGCACTGCTGGCACATTCTCTGCGCACAAGATAACTTATGCTGTGCAGTTAGTGCAACTGCACAAATGCCCAAACAAAATATCTAGTTATCTCCTGCTTTATAATAAACTGTCAGCCCGAGTGCAGCAGACCCTACAATTTGTCTGTATGCAGCGCAGAAATGTGTGCAGACTGGAGGGAAGGAACATCCCCCCCCGGTCAAATCAAACCTGTGTCATGTGAATTGTGTAGTGACAACGGAAGTTTTCAAAGAGGTAAAAAAATTCAACCAATGAAATCACAGGCAAACTTTCATTCCAACCAATTAATTATCTGGAGTTTCGGCACTGACATGCGAAGAAGCTGTGTAGCTACAAGCAATGTCCTTGGCTTCTAGCATTTTCCAAGCTTCAATCTGCATATTACATTGTATACAGAAGAATAATATTTAGGCCCGAGCAGTGAAGCGCTGTGAAGGCTTATTGCGCTGCGAAGGCCTATTGTAATCGCTCTGTTCAGGCCCGAGCTGCAATTTTTTTGGCAAATGAATTGGCCTTTTGGGGGCCTTAACATACCAAAACTCACCAAATGTGGCGGACGCATCAGGACTGCTGAAAAATTACGTATTTTAAGGACGTGGCAAAAATTGCAACAGAAACGGATCAACAGCACCACCTGGAATTTTTAAAAATGTCCTCCGCATTAACCTAAGTTTGTCGTAGAAACATGAAATTTGATACACTTGTCCAATTCCCCAAGATGCACAAAAAAAACCCCTCTGGCACCAACGTTGTATGATAAATAGGAAGGCAGCCATTTTGGAATGACTTCCCAAATTTCACACCTTTTTGTCAGTTTACAGCCTCCGCATTTCAACAAACTCCTCCTAGGGATTTCGCTCAATCGGTTTCAAACTTGGCCATTTTAGTCAAAAGGCATGGGGGAGGAAAAGTTATCTAAATGGTGCATTTCGGAGCATGATAAAGAGGCGGGGCCAAACCTCAAAGTTTGACATCTCGCCATGAAAAATGAAACACTAATAGCTCCTATAAGAAAACTGTCTGAGACATCAAACCTTCAGGGATTGACCCATATCCAGTTCCCTGCAAAACTGAATGGTCAAATCATGACATCACTTAAGCCACGCCCCCTGAAAATAGGAAGTGTAAAGTTTTACGTTTAACGGTCCCTATCTGACCCCTGTGATGTAATCAGCATGATAGTGTGTCCAGTGACCGAAGACATGTTGATGTAACTTACTTTCCCACACTGACAGTTTTGGGTGAAGCATGTGGGTGGCACGGCGTGGCGAAGTAAGACGTAACGCTGTCGCCATACAATTGGCTCTAAATTCCACAGATTTGAGCCGAGGTGCACCAAAATCACTATGATCGATCATGATCCACCCCTTGAACAGGAATCCATGATAAGTTGCCAAAAGCCTCCACAGCGCCCCCTAGAATATTTTAAAACATGAGTCCCAAGCCATTTTTTCGCTGATAATTATGAAACTCGGTGAACATCTGTATCTTCTCAGGTCCTATGAAAAAGTCTCTTGGAGCTCTGGTCCAAACTCAACATTTTGGGTCAAAGGGTCATTTTGGGGTCTTTCTAATGGCAAATTTTAACAAACTCATCCTAAGGATTTTGATGGATTGCCTTCAAACTTGATTAATATGCCCTTAACACATTGGGGCATAAAATTTATCAAAAGCTTGCGGTTTCGTATATGTTAAAGGGGCGTGGCCAGGCCTTAAAGTTGCACTTCACGCCATAAATTTCCAAACGCTATAACTTTCACATTGAAAGACCGAACTGCACCAAACTTGGCATGAGTCATCCCTGTTGGATGCCCGACAATCCTCTGTGGTTATATTCTTATGTCATCAAAGCCCCGCCCGCTCAGAACAAGAAGTCACTTTTTTACTTGGAAAGCTCCCTCTCGGACACCCTTGACCTAATCAGGATGATCTTGTGTTAGAAGACATTTAACAAGTTGGTCTGATTGCTTTAAAGCACAAACCGTTTTTGCTGAAGGATGTGAGCGTGGCGGCGTGGCGAATTAAGAAGTGACACCGTTGCAATACGTTTGGTTCTAAATTGTACCGATTTGAGCTGAGGTGTATCAAAATCACTTTGATCGATCATTATCCACCCCTTGAACAGGGATCTATGATAAGTGGCCAATAGACTCCACAGCACCCCCTACATTATTCCTACAGTTAGAGTTCAGTGATACATCATCCGATCTGAACCAGATTTATTGTGCGTAATCAGTGAGCACTTCTACACACATTGATATTGTGTAAAAAAAGTTAAATCTGGTTCTCTGGACATTCAAAAAAACAAACAAACCCAAAACAAATTGTAGAAAAGTTTCGTCTTTCATCCGAAAGACTTCCTCAGTCTGAAGACCTGTATTTAGCTCCGTCTTATAAATAGCACCCTCTCGCAGTGGATCAACCAGTTTGCTGCTGACAACCAGAACCAGCTGGTCACATGCTCAAGAAGGACCATCAGCCTAACAATGGATCATTAGCACCTGATGGCTGTTTACTATTCACATTTACTATGCATCACAAACAATGATGAGTCCAGCTACAGGCAAGAGGTGGAACACCTGGAGAGCTGGTGCAGAGAGAATAACCTTCACAT